AATGTCAATGATCCTGTCCTGATCACATCAGTGTTGTTTATCACCTTTTAGGCTCCCTCCAGCAACTAAGACCTACTTTTGCCTTTAAATCGTTCTAATTTATACTTTCTCTTCTAATATCTGAAGCCAACTGGGTGACAGCTGTCTTTAATTTTTCTAAAAACGACCTAGTGAAAGTTTTTAAATTTGTTTTGGTTGGTGTTTTACAAACAGGAAAATGCATCCTGTCCAGGCTACAATGTGAGGCAGCACTAACATTGTCCACTTCCAGGCACTTTTTCTTGTCCTCCCTACACACCCTGCCAGAGAGCAGTGAATTATGAATTTTCAAAATATATAGGTCATTGGTTGAAAACAAACAGACAAACAAAATTCATTAAAAAGGAAAGAGTAAATCTCCCCCCCCCCCTTTTTTTTAACCTGGTGCTGCTTAGAGTAGGCAGGGAGCCTGGAGAACTATTTTTACCTCCTTGTGTGCATTCCACTTTTATGGCAGGGTGCCCTGGGTAGGAGTCTCAGCCCCTCCCTCACTTCACAGGAGAACCGGCAGAATCAGGGACTCTGAGCAAGAGTAAAGTTACAAGACAAGCAAGAGCTTCAGAGTGGGTCTTCTGGGGTTTTATTTCTTTCTCTAGGTAATCTGGAAGAGACAAGTCTGCAAAATCTATAAAAAGGAAAAAAAAGGATTAGGGTCCCCATCAGGAGGGGCCACAGGTCTTAGTGTCTGTAGTGGGATCTCACATAAGAGAAAGTCATTAGTTTATACAGGGAAATAGAACAGGGAAACACAACTGAGTGACAGTGGAACATTGTGACCTCTTCAAGTGCTATTTGGTACCCACCAGAGAACACTGCTTAGATGTGATATGTTCGTTTGTATATGTTTGGCCCAGGGAGTGGCACTATTAGAAGGTATGGCCCAGTTGGAGTAGGTGTATCACTGTGGGCGTGGGCTTTAAGACCCTCATCCTACCTTCCCAAAAGTCAGTCTTCCACTAGCCACCTTCAGATGAAGAGGTAGAACTCTCAGCTCTGCCTGTACCATGCCTGCCTAGATGCTACCATGTTCCCACCTTGATGATAATGAATTGAAACTTTGGACCTGTAACCCAGCCCCAATTAAATGTTGTTCTTCATTGTAAGACTTCCCTTGGTCATGGTGTTTGTTCACAAGAGTAAAACCCTAGCTAAGATACATAGCTTCAGCCAATAGGAAGTCTTCATTAGCACGCTACACATGATGTTCAGGATCCCACAGTATTTGCAGCCTTTCTTTTTTTTTTTTTGAAAATATTTTTTTTTATTGGATGTTTTATTTACATTTCATGTGTTGTCCCCTTACCCCATCCCCCACCCACCCAGGAACCCCCTATCCCCTCACCCCTCCTCCTTCTTCTCTGTGCATGTAACCCTTACCTACCCCCCCTCCCACCTCCCCACCCTCAAAATTCCCACCCCCTGGGGCGTCCAGCCCTCATGAGGTCAAGGATCTCTTCTTCCACCTATGAAGACCTGGATCCCTCCCTAAGTGCTCCCAGGCTGGTGGTTTAGACCCTGGGAGCTGTGGTTGGTTGGTATTGTTGCTCTCCTCATGGGGTCACAAACCCTTTCAGCTTCAATGGCCTTCACTCTAACTCCTCCATTGGGAACCCCATTATCAGTTCAATGGCTAGTTGTGAGCATCTGCCTCTGAATATGTCAGACTCTTGAAGACCTCTGAGGAGACATCCATATCAGGCTCTTATCAGCATGCACTTCCTGACTTCCACATCAGCATCTACCTTTGGTGACTGCACATGGGATGGATACTCAGGTGGAATGGTATTCAGACGGCCCCTCCTTCCATTTCTGTCCCTCACTTTGTCTCCATATTTGCTCCCTTGAGTATTTTGTTGCTCCTTCTAAGAAGGACCGAATCACCCCCACTTGGTCTTCCTTCTTCATGAGCTTCATGTGGCCTGTGAGTATTTGCAGCCTTTCTTTGGGTGAACTTATAAACACAGAATCCATGTTCTGGTTTGATATACTTCAATTAACAAAAACACTAAGCCAGGAGGAGAAATACAGAAGCCAGAAAGCAAGGTTAGTACATTAAGAGCTTTCACAGAGCTGTGAACTTAGATGTATTAGGTTTTTGCTTTCATTTGGCTGGTGACACTGTCTCCCTGTTGTGTTTTATGACCTGAATGGAATTTCCATTATGGAGTCAGTTGTGCTAAGGTATGGAGGCCTGTTACATTATTTCCAGAAAGTAGACTTAAAGAGGATTATACCCATCCTCCTGATCTATGGTTTTCCAAGCAGCTCCAAACCTGAAAATTATTACATCTATTCTATATGACATAGATACGTTTTTATACACCAAATGGGTTCGAGATCTCTTTGCATTACATATAGAAGGCTGTGATTGGGAAATCATGAAAAAACATACCACTACTACAGCTATCTGAGGCCTTTGATTCATTGTTGATTCAGTTTCATGTTCAAAATCTTTTCAATTTCTCAATCCTTCAACACACTTCAAAGGTTTACAATATTTTCCTTCCTTCCTTCCTTCCTTCCTTCCTTTCTTCCTTCCTCCCTCCCTCCCTCCCTCCCTCCCTCCCTCCCTTCCTTCCTTCCTTCCTTTCTTTGTTTGTTTCATTTTATATTTTTTCATGGCAATGCTTTCTGGTAGCCCTGGCTGTCCTAGAACTTCCCTCTAGACCAATTTGGACTGAAACCACAGGGAACTACCTGCCTCTGACCCCTGAATGCTGAGATAAGAGTCATGTTTCACCACTGTGTGGAAATTACAGTGCTTTTCAACATTTGCTCTCTTGTAGAAATATAGACAGTCTCACAGGATTGTAGAAGGAAATAAAAGACATGCGGAAGAGCATGTTCATTGTCACTGAGCAGCAAGATCATGTATGAAGGGTCCCTTACTCTTGCTAGGTCTAGGGAAATCTACTCTGGAAACATGGGGCCAGAAGCCTTGACCAGAATGAGATGATATTTTTGAGGGTTATTCATTTTCTTTAGAACTGCTGCTGTGACTAAAAAGACTGCTCCTGGGCATAGGCTGGAGCACAGCAACTGATGAACCCCTGGGTGGTGTTAACAAGGCAACCAGTCTCCAACAGTCACTGTCTGACTTGCTTTGATTTAGTGAACAGCAGATGTATGTCTTAACCAGGGGTGAGAAATGCACTGGGATTGTCTTTCTCTATGATCACAGTGTCTCTGCTGATGAGCACAGTTAAATGATTGTGACCATTGATGGACCTGGGCTGATTTAGTTCTACTCCTCCTGAGAGGGTTGCCCATGGCTGATATTCATGAGGGGAAACAGAATGAGATGTAGGGTGAACAGCCCCGCCTCTGTGAAGGACAAAGCAAGGAAACACTGTGTTAATGTGAGAACAAACAGGGATTAAGACCTAAGGTCTGTATAGAGCTCAGTGTAGGTGACCAATGGCTCAGAAACACAAACTCAGCTTACCCAAAACACTATGTCCCAAGTTGACAGGTTTCTTGAAGTTTCTGTAACAACAGGAAAAAAGAAAGTCACGGATCAAGGTACTCTCACAATACATGGGTGGCATCATAGGGCAGTCCAATTATGATAACATGTGGGAGGTAGCTTCAGGCCTTCTGATAAAAGAAATGGCTATGAAGGCAGCTAAGGATACCCAGGAAACATTGTCTCCAGACTTTGCAGCATTGCAGCTCTCCACAACCACACAAATTCTGATCACTTGACCTTATAGGTTCATTGACACAGTTGTGACTATTTTCTGGGAGCCCCAGTTCACAGCTGAATCCCTGAGTGAAGGAGGAAGAATAAGGCAGTTACCTCCACACATCTGAGTTTGGCTGCCTCCTTCAGTGGCAAGATTGACTCATTCCTAGTGCCCACTTACTTCTTAACCCTGCTCTGCAGGACTCAAACAGTGTAGGGACAGGCTTTCTCTAGAAAAGCTCTCTTGCAGACAAAACTAATGACAATGTCTGTTTATCTAGGCCCCCAACTCCAGGCCCTCAGGCAATTGTTTCTGCCTTCTAGAAATCAGAATCTGGGTCCAGGTTCCATTCTCAGTCACCATAGCTTTGTTTGATGAGTTTGTTCTGCCTGGTCAGCTCCAACCCCTCACATTCCTAGTGTTTCTCTTCCTCTTCTCTGCACTTTTGCTCTGTCTTCTCTACCAAAAGGAAAACAAAACAGAACACCACAGTGAAAAGAGCAGTAGGTAATTTCTTTGCATCATTTCCTCCCCAGCAGTCTGGACCAGCTCCCTGATCTCTTGCTTTTATATCATAGTTGCTTTCTTCAATATCCAGTGTTTGTATTGGGGAATGAAGACTCTCTCTGACTTTGAACTCATTTATTGATTATCTGTTTAAGTTTCAGGGAACTGCTCTTACAGAACTATGTCCCTGGAAGAGTCACTGTCACGTATGTTCATAAGTTGTACAAAAACTACTATATGTTGTTTGGTGTTTGTTCTTTATCTGGAGTGACAAGAAAATTATACTTATGCCCAAGACATGAGAATAACCACTTGAATAGGTAGAATGAATACATTTTAAATCTCAAGAATTTGTCCAAAAGGCCTATATCGAACATAAATTCCTGAGTGTCTTTCTTCATTTTAATTACAATAAATGAATATTTAATTGATTATATGCACATACATCATAAAATAATCTCTCTAAATCAGTTTGTTTTCAAATTTGTTATCTATTGTAAAATCTTTAACATGAAAAGTATTCAATGCTGAATTATTTAAAAAATATTTCTGTTGTGAGAGCAATAAAATTTCACTGTTACATTATAAAAATATTTACAATTATTTTATGAGATTCTAAAACACTATATGTTCTCTCTCAGCTGTCTCTCTGATATATACAACAATGTGCGGTTGATTCAGAGTTTCATAACTCTGCCTTCTGAGTGAAAACGATTATTTTTAGTTAATCTTATCTGTTTGTTTATACACAGGGTACAAGTTGTTGCCATGGCCTCAGAGGTCTACATGTCAGGCCCTGTGTGCCTCATTGAGAATGTAAAGGGGCAACTGAGAGCCAAACAGGAAGCCCTGAGCTTCCTGTCTGCTATCCAGCAGCCAGTGGTGGTGGTGGCCATTGTGGGGCTCTACCGCACAGGCAAATCCTACCTGATGAACAGGCTGGCTGGGAAGAGATCAGGTGAGTGTCACCAACAAGGCTGTGCTGTGCCCTGTGTGCACTCGCACTGTCTGCTAGCTGAATGAGAATGTGAAGAATTTAATCCTTTACTCACTGCTGTCCCTTGGGGTCCTTTGTGTTGTTGTCATTGCTGCTTTTTCTGTTTGCTTTCATTTTTGAGGCAAGGACAAGCTGTGTAGCCCACACATGTATCTAGGTCAGTATGTAGTCAAGCTGAACCCAAACCCATGATCCTCCTGTCTCTGCATCCTGAGTGCTGCTTACATGTCTGCACCACCATATCTGTCTCTAAATTTCCCTTCTAAAACCAGAAAGGGTTGCTTTCCTGGATGCAGAGTGTGAGTAATAAAGATAATCAAATTTTCATGGTAATTAGCTTAAAGGCATTGATAAAAATGTTCATGAGGGAACGAGTTTTTACTGCTTAAAAAGTATATTCATAATACATGTGTTAACTTTGCTATTGTCATAAATTATATAAGATTCATCTTTATAATTTACTTATCCAGATCTTTGGCATTAAATAAATTAATACATCTATGTATCTCCATCTCTACAACATTGTCCACCCCATCCCTTTATTCCACATGCTATATGTATGACTCTGACTGTCCTAGCAGTGTCACATACATGAATTCACACAAAATATAGGCTTTTAATTACTTGTTCTCTCACTTAACATGATGGCTTCAAGGTTTGTCACTGTGAGAAAGAGAGAGCAAAACAGTCTTCCCTTTTCAGGGACAGTGATCAGGTATGCCTAACATTGTCTTATCCAATCGCCTGTGGAGAAGACAGGTAAGTACTCTGAATGATGCTGATGTGAAGATGGCTATAGAGACACCTGACAGAGCCCAGCCTTTCAGGTTTCTAGGTTGTGTTAGTCTCATCACTGAACAAATGCCTAACAGAAGCAATGTAAGAAAGAAGGGTGTATTCTGCTCACAGTTCAGGGGAAATCGGTCCACTATGGCAGAGGAGACAGGGCTTTGTAGCTCTATGTGTACTGATAGGAGTGTGTGGTATTTTCTTATTAAGGATGATCGAGAATCAGACAACACTGTTCCACAAGCAAGCCACCATTAACATTCCAAAGCCTTCCCTCTGCCAGGCAAATCCTACCTCTTAATGCATCCATCTCTCCCAAAACAGTGGAACTGAGGGCCAAGGTTCACATACATGGTCCTGTGGTAAATATTTTATATGCAATCCATAGCCTTTTGCTCCTGGATCCTAAATGCAGTGACTCTGTCTTCAAAAGTCCCCATAGTCTTATTGATCTAATATTACAAAAAAGTCCAAAGTCTCATCTGAGACTCAAGGCAACCTGTGACATGCAAAGTCACATAAGGAATATTCCCATTTCCAGTGTTCAGGAGGATGGGAAGGGAAGAACACACCATAACACGACTGAACCAGCAGGGCAAACCACAGATGCTTTAGCTCTATGTGAAACATACAGAGCATATGGGGGTTTTCTATACTCTATTGTCTTGCAGACCCTGCCTCTAGGGTACTGTTCTTTAAAGGGCGCAAGGGATCTCTATAGTCTAGGTTTCCTCAGTGGGCATCCTTCAGTCCTGGCATCTCTAACAACCCATCGTCTCCATGGTTACTTCAGTTTTAACACCACATCTTCACAGACACAGCAACCTCAGGGGATCCATCTCAAAGACTGACCCTGCTACCCATTCCTTTTGGAATATTGGTACAAGTCTGGAGGCCTTGTGACTGTTGCATTCTGCATATCTGAAAATGAATTTCTGTTGTATCAGTGCTAGCTTTGCTTTCAACTAATTCTTCTGACTTCCTTGTGTTGATTTTTCAAGAAAGAGTTATTTATTTTAAATTCACATGTGTGAATGTTCTGTCTGTGTGCTACGTGCATGCCTGGCACTCACTGCTGCTAGACAGAAGAATAAGGTTCCCTGAAACTGGTGTTCTGCAGTTGTCATCTGCCCTGTAGGTAATGAGAACTGAATTGTAATCTTCTCCAAGACCAGTAAGCACACTTAACCACTTTCTACTTCCAATATGCTAATTTTATTATGGCTTTCTGAAAGCCTTGATGGTAAGTGTTTAACTCTTCCTTTCTTCTATGCTTTCAGGTTTCTCCCTGGGCTCCACTGTGCAGTCTCAAACCAAGGGCGTCTGGATGTGGTGTGTGCCTCATCCCCAGAAGCCCGACCACACCTTAGTTCTGCTTGACACTGAGGGTCTGGGAGATGTGGAGAAAGTAAGACTGGAGTTCCATTTGTAATTCAGCCTTAACCTCTGAATGTTCTGTGCTATTGTCTATGCTGTATTAAAATCTTTTATTATTGCTTGTTTGTCTGTGTGTGTGTGTGTGTGTGTGTGTGTGCCTGTGTGCACACTCCTTGGTGTGCTTGCTTGTGCACATGTAAATGTGTGAGTGAGTTGATCACAAGTATCATGTTGCATGAGGTACAATGCACATGTGGAGGTTACAGGATAATATGTGGGATCAGTTCTATTTTGAACTCAGGCTGTTAGACTTGTTGTTTTTCAATAAGAGTGTGAACTTCATCATCACCTCCTATCCATTCATACTTACATGACATGTGGTCATGAGGAGGGGAACTATCACAAGACAGGATTGTATACCAGCAAAATGGTATTCTGCAGAATTAAAACAATAAAAAAAATTGATAACTAGCTCTTGTGAGAATCATTACAAATGAATCCACAAACTAAGAGAACAATCACCTTGTAAGTGCTCTGGACAGCATCTTCAGATTTATTGCTGTTTCTGTTCAGGTTTTCTACCTTGCATAGGTTACAAAGGTTTCAATTTTTAAGGCTGATATGCCCTCTCATGAAGTGTGCATAGTTTACTACTGCTGATTTGAAAAGTGATATAAGAACAAGACACGATCTCAACTCACATGTGTGCTGACTTCCAGGGTGACAACCAGAATGACTGTTGGATCTTTGCCCTGGCTATACTACTAAGCAGCACCTTTGTGTACAACAGCATGGGAGTCATCAACCAGCAGGCTCTGGACCAGCTGCAGTATCCTTTCTAGAGTTCAGACCTACTTTCATGATTCTAGATTTAACTTAATGCAACATAAAACAAGAGTAACTCACATATATGTAGTAGTGTTTACAGACAAGTTAGAGGTGATGCAAATGAAGACTATGGTCAACATTTGAGAAGATGTGGAATTATTGTGGCATGAGGTACCTGGAGCTTTGGGTGGTGCTGAGGTTGTTTCTGTGGCCTTCCTTAATTATCTAATCAGCTATATGACAGAGCTGACAGACAGAATCAGAACAAGATGCTCCCCTAAGGATCATGATTTAGAGGACTCAGATGAGTATGTGAGCTTCTTCCCAGACTTTGTGTGGAATCTGAGGGACTTCTCTCTTGAGCTAAAAATAAATGGGCAGCCTATCTCAGCAGATGAATACCTAGAGAATTCCCTGAAGTTTCTTCAAGGTAAGAGACTTACAACTGGTAAATGAGGATAAAAACAAAACAAAACAAAACTGAGAGTTCCACTTCTTCTATCTATATTTTTCTTATGCCTGGAAATCTTAGTACTTCTAGCTAACTGCACATAGAAATCGGTGTTTAATGTATGATTTTTTCAGATTGAGTAAAGCATTTCTCTTAATTATTTGTCTTTCACACTTTCTTTTACAGAAATTAATTTGACTACTCTGCTTCCAAATGAAGACATATTTGAAAAAAACTAGAATGAAGCGTTATATTTTCCAACTGTTGGAATACTGTGGCCCCCAGACATGATGGGTTGTCAGTAGTCTATGGAAATCAAATGATGCTGTCCTCATAGGTCTGCATGTTGTCTGTGTGAATAGTTCACCAACTCTAAGTGAGTTGAATCCTTAGAAGCCACCTTTCCTGATAAGACTACCAGTATTTATAATGCCTTTTGTAAAAAAAGGAAAACAGTTAAAGTAGAAGACACTGCCCAATGCCCACATGTTCCCATTGTCTCTTCTTGTTTGGTGTTTTCAGAATCTCACTCACTATGTGGTCCAGGCTGGCCTCAACTTATAATCTTCCTGCCTAAGTTTTGAGCATTCCAGAATTTCAAATGTTCACATGATTGAATTTACAACATACTCAGTTCACAAATCCTGGCTGAAAATCCTGTTTTTCACTCTATCTAGGTACTGGACAAAAAGAAAAAGATTTAAATCTGCCTCAAGCCTGTATCCGTAAATGCTTCCCAACTAAGAAATTTGTCTTTGAGCGCCCAGCACCTGGGAAGAAGCTTAGTCAGCTAGAATCTCTGCAGGATCAAGACCTGGACTCTGACTTCGTGGAACAAGTGGCAGAGTTCTGTTCCTATGTGTTCAGGTCTTCCAAGGTTAAAACCATTTCAGGAGGCCTCAGGGTCAATGGACGACGTGCGTCCTTTCCCAGTCTGTCTGCTCACCATATAGGCCACAGTTTCCTGAGACAGCCGTGACCTACTTCAGCTTTGAAGTAATGTTAATCTATCACCACTGCCCTGATAAACTGCACATGTAACCAGCATTCATAATCATTTGTCTGTCAGATTGTCTTGTTGGAAAAAGAGAAAAGAAAGCAAGAGAAAATTAAGAAAACTTTTAACTCACCTGGGTACACTGGACTTGAGTAGACCAATAAGATAGTCACTAAACAAGAATAGGTCTTACATTTTAAAATAAGTCCAATGAGATGTACATCGAGCTGGTCATTGTCAAGTTAGGATACATAAAACATTCTCTTGATAATGCTATTTATTCTAATCAACCTGACAGAGAGTTTTAACCATGTTTTGTTCCCAAATGGGAATGAAATGCTTACTATGGACAGTATTAGTGACACAGACAGCCACAACAGAGGTGTGAAGCCTGTTCTCTTGGTACTTGTGTTAAAATGGATGCAAACATTCCATAGACACATGCCTGTGTAATCTCCATCCAGCATTCTTAGCCTTTTGGGTTGCAGACACCTCAGGAGAGGATCTTGCTAAGAGGAATGTCTAATTCCATCACTGAGAGAGAGAGAGAGAGAGAGAGAGAGAGAGAGAGAGAGAGAGAGAGAGAGAGA